TCCGACCCAAGCCATCCTACAATCCTACAATTCTATGATACTACAATCTTCCATTATAGTCCTTTGGAAAGCAAGCAGCCTAAGGCACAGAGGCACCACGTATTCTCAATTTTGCTGAACATATGAAATGTTTAAGTATAAATAATCATGTCCCAACTTGCTCTCATCCCCTTCCCTTTTATTACTGCAGTGTTTTACTCACAAGATCACCCCGCTCTTTTATCGCTTTCAAAATTTTAAAAAATACTTTGAAAGAACAAAAAGTGTGAAACTGGATCTCAATAGACACAACAGCTTTTGGGCCTTGCCCCTTACCTTCATCTACACTTGAAACTCCACTGTTGCTGAAAGCAGTCCCAATTCCCCCAGCTGATGTCACATTGTAGGTTCCTGGCATGGACATAATGGTGGTGAGTGAATGGTTGGACTTTGTGGTATTCTCCAACCTCAATGATTCTATAATTCTATAAATCTGTATGCTGGTGTACTGCAGCAATGAGCAAAGCCAGGTTATTAAAGTGGGTTAAACTCCTCTATTCCTCCAGAGCAGTTTCCCTGCTGGGTTTTACTGTATGAATGTGCAGGTTGGACTGCACAAGACAGGAGGGAGAAGGAAATGGGTGACCTGGAGGGGATGCAGATGTATGGGATGGGGCAGGAAAGAAGGGACTGCTCCGTTTAAAGGTGCTGAAGTTTTATGAAGGCCCTCATTTCACCATGCCAAAACCTTGCGCTGCTGGGAAGAGGCATGACACACTCTTTGGGTAGACAAAGCCCAAAAGGGAAATTGCACTACTGCTTGCCTATGACCCTGTGGTCAGTCTGTGATCCTGATGAACATGCACATCCATCTTCTAGAGCAATTGACTGTAAGTCCCCAGTTTTTCAGTCATCTCTTCCTTCAAGAACCAGCTGCTTAATAACAACCATTGACTTGTAAATGAGAGGAGATAAAATACATGCTTTTATCAAGAGAGACAAAATAGCACTTTTCTGTCTTTCAACAAAAAATATCAGAGAGCCCCGGTGAGGTCTCATATTACTCAGACTTATATTTGTAGCTTTTACAGTCCAGCACTTGCTGATAATGTACGAAGTATGAAATTAAATCAATTGTCAGACCAAATGAAAAAGTACACTACGCAATACATTATCCTCTGGTTTTGTTTGTTTGTTTGTTTTATTGTATTTCTTCATTCACCTGCTAATTCTCCAAATCCAGCCACTTACAATGAATCTTCCAGTCAGTAGTGGGATTTAGCAGGGTTCCACTGTAAAACAGCATTCACATTTCACTTGAGAACTGGCAACGTATAGTGTTGAAGGGCACCAGATACAAAAGCTGTCAGTCCACAACTATATTTGATTTCCACATGCTTACCCAAGCTCACCTCCTGTGCTGGGAAATTAACACATGATGTGCAAATTTTTTTGAATAGTTGCTTTTTTCCTTTTCCTCCCTCTCTCCTCTCCTCTCCTCTCCTCTCCTCTCCTCTCCTCTCCTCTCCTCTCCTCTCCTCTCCTCTCCTCTCCTCTCCTCTTTCCTTTTCCTTTTTTCCTTTTCCTTTTTAAAAATCATGCTTATCAAGGCTCACATGGCTGCAGAGGTTTATGTGGGATCACTGGGATGTGGCTGCATGACTAATTTTTCAAAGCCCCTCAGGAATGCAGCCGGACGTAAGTCCTGAGCGGCTTGATTGTGATGACTGAATTGAAATACATTGTGATGCTTCTCCGCTCAAGAAACATGAGCTCATTAGAAGTTGAGACTATAGCTGAAGTATTAAGTGATTTGTCATTTTCTGGTTTTTATTACCATTTTAGAGCAAATATTTTACATAAAATTAAGCACCCTCTTAAAAACTTAGCACATAAGTTAAGGTGATAATGTCAGATCCTATTCCTGCTCATTTGCATGTATTAGCATAAATGGCAGGACTTGAAAAATGCTCTTTGGTTTCCCCTTTGAATTTTGCAGCAATACATATCTTTTAGAAAACACATAATTAGTATACTGGAAAACTAAAGATTCATATACATCACTCAAAACACATTTCAATTCATAAATCCCTTATTTTTCCATAGAAATGTTTTTTTTTTTTCTAAATCAAAATCACTCCAAAACTTGTTCAAAAGCACGAGTTCTGTAGATAGCTTTTTAGCATGCATGAGAAAAGTGCTATTTAATTTCACACTCAACTAGTCCTTTAACAATTTTCTTCCAGGCAGAATATAAGAGGTTGTTATTAATTCCTTAATAAAATAAAAAAATAAGTAATAGCTGATATGTCTTTAACCTTGGACCAGCTTGAGTAATTTTTTTCCGCTCAGATAAGACAGAGAAGATCAGCACAAATGGCAAGTGATAAATTGGCCTCTGGGAATTACCTGGGAGTCCCCCTCCTCCTTTCTCTCTGGCAATGCCTCCCCTGAACCATTTCTGTTTTTAACATGTTTGATTCCTCCCATCCCTGAACCACCAGTGACAGAAGTTGTCAAGTTCTGATGATCCCCACCTTAAGTTTTAACTCCCAATTATGCTGAAGTAATTTAACAAAGAATTTCACAAAGACTACACCAAGCTGAGACACCCATTTTTCAGTTCAGTCTGTGTCTTAAAGGCTTATTTGCTTTTTCTGGATTTGCTGAAGAGAAAAAAAATCTATCACTCCCCTTTCTAAGATGCAGCACCAGCAATTCCATTTTACATTAAATCAATTTCATCTATATCTTCCAAACCATCCTCTTTCTCATTTGTCATAGAATCATCATAGAACCGCTTGTGTTGGAAGGGACATTCCTATCAAATCTCAGAATCTCACTATATCACAGACACCCAGACTCAATAGCTGTTGGCATCCTGCTCAAAAAATTGAAATAAAAAATGCAGACGTGCTGTTATTCAGAGAGGCCTTCATATAGGGCAGTTCTCTTGTTAGCAGATGCTGAAGATGAACATTGCTGGTTCCTAATGGGGAGATACCCAGGTAAAAAGAGTTCATTACCTCTGAATGGAAATGGTGGTAGCAGTAGTAACAGATGTAACAGTAATTTCAGATCATCTTGAGACTACCTCTGGACAAGTAAGCTCAGCTTCTTTTTTACCGCCACTCTCTTTTCTCCAGGCACTTGTAATTAATATTGTATGAATAACTCTCATCACTAGCTTTACCTAAAACCTGTTAGGAATGTAGAAGTACAAGGTTTCTGCTGTGTTTCTGAGTCCAAGCTCTTCCTACAACAGGAAACACACTCTAGGTTATATCAGAAACACCTCAAGATGGAAGTTTTTCATACACAGACCAAGTTCCACTTGAAAATTAATTGGTGTTTCTTGACTCCAACACTCCTATCAGAAAAAAAAAAGCTCAAAAATCTGTTTGATCAGTTAATCAGAAGCCATCTTCCAAATGCCAATCTAAATTCATCATGGCTCATTTCTATCCACATGCTTTTTCCCCCAACTCAGTCATTTAGCACAAGCAGTAATTTTATCCATCCTGACATTGTGTCGTGACAGAATGTGCAGGAGTGTTGGAGATGTGGGTAGGTCATTTTGTATGTCCCTGGTACCTGAGCAGGTGAATGTCCAAAAAATGGCCAAACCCTGACAGCCCCTCCAAGTTGGTCACTAGGAAGGGTTAGGAAGGCATCCCTTTCCCTTACCACAGCCACAAAAATCCACAGGTAATACAAAGCGCAGCCTCATTATGGCAACTCCATTTTTATTGAAGGTGTTTGGCATGGGCTATCCAGGTATATATGCAGACAAGTATAAAATCCATAGACATCACTTTTTGAAAGCTGTTATTTCCGAAAAGGAACCGTTACGGGAGAAGCATGCTGTGGGATCTGTATTAAAAAAAAATAATAATAATAATTTACAGTCGTTTTTTGAACACCTAATTTCCCCAGCAGCCCCTATGCAACAAAACTTCAAACAGCCACACACGGTCTGATTTAGTGAATCTACAAGGAAGAGGTCTGCATTATGTTTGCTAAAAGAACTAGGATTTCAATTCCAGCTGCTGCTGGGTGTTCTTGATTTGTATATTAATTATGCCTGTTTGTAGCTGTAAATTTGCTTCAGATTAGCAGCCCATTGGCTCTGCGCAGGGATTCAACATACTAAATGGCTCTTTGCACTTTCCTAGTTTTCAAATGATTCCGTATTCCTGCTTTCCAAAATGCTTTGACTACCTTTCTCATTCACTGAGAGTTTTCAATCCTTATTCAGACAATTATCTTTTTTTTTTTCCCCTTAGGAGAAATCATGCTCCTTTGGCTCTTCTCTCCAGACACTTCTAGCTGGTGGCACACCAGCTTTGTCCATGGTGCTGCTCTCAAGCACAGGACGAAGTGCTTCCTCTCCCAAGGTTACAGAGAAATGCAGTTTATTCACTTTTGCTACACGGAATGCCTAAGCCAAGGGCTTCAGGAATTAAACAAGTGCTCCATGGGATGCATATACAGTCCCACTACCCCGCTGACTTTAAATGCTCGTCACGTTGGAATAAAACCATCCCACATGTGGAACATTTTTGCTCTCGATAACCGAGTTTTCTCCCCGCATTTCAAAATGCCCAAAAGTTCTGAGCTGTCAGCTTTGTAGTTAAGGCCTGCGAGATATGCTTGGAAATGAACCACGTTTGTAATCGGCTGCATAAATCGGCCTTTGTTTAAGGCGCTCCGACTGGTGTCTGCGTGGGAATGTTTGTGTACAGTTAGGATATAAATGTCAATGGGGTCAAGCCGATTTCCCTCATATTTTAGGAAAAGAACCACTCTGAGCTGAAAAATTGTATGCCAAGTTTCTGCCCGAAGCCAATTTTTACGATCAAATTAAAAACCTTTGAGAATAAGAGGTTATAATGGAAATACTAACACAGCCTTAGCCGTGGCAGCACTGGCAGGCACTGCAACAATATCAGGAAAGCTCTCCCTGCCCACAGTCTAAACTAAATAAAAAAGATGCCATTTTCTAACATACACCCTGGGCTAGCAAATAACAATGATTTAATGTACTTGCCCTGTGGTAATATAGTACTGCTGCAAACCTCTAAGCCAATTTTTCTTTTCTTTTCTTCTCTTTTTTTAATTCTTTTTAAACATATATGCCCCATAGGGAAAGGATTGTAATTTAGCTCTTATTTGTGGATATATCGCTTTCATTTCAACAATTCTTGAAAGCCTTCCTGCTGTCACACAGTGCTGTATGCAAGCATCCAACTGAATAAAGACCCACCAGGCTTTTTCAGGAGTTTATTCACAGGTTTGGCCCTGCTTATTGTAGTATGCACCACATTTAAATTAGATGAGGGCTACTGTAAAGCGATAACATTGTCAATGACTGGAATCTCACTTTCCCCTCTAACAGTCTGAAGCAAATAAATGTATTGGTTGTTCATTAACAAGTAAACAGTTTCTGCTACAATGTCAAGGAAAAAGAATGTGTTCATTAATATGAACGATCTTCATCTACAAAGATGATTTACACAATGCATGTCATGAGATAGGTTTTCCCCTAACTAGTACACTACCAAACGGAAAAGCTGATTCTTAGGACTTCCTTGAAATTACAATATTGTTTGTTTACCAATAAGAACGACAGTCTCAGTCACCTATGCCACCATTGTAAGCTCTATAGTAAGTACTTAAAAAAAGAGAGATTTCTGGAATCACTTGTGGAATTAATAAAATTGATAACTACAGACTTACACTGCATCAATGATACATATTATTCCTGTGATAAGTTAAGCTAAAAATAAGATTAATTTGGTTATAGAAATTCCTTAAACAACAACACTGAAATTATTTCAAACTTGAAAATTTTCAAGAATTTTCTGAAAAAATCAGCAAACACTGGCTAAAAAAGCAAAGCAGTTTGGATACACCAATGTAATCAGCATGCCTTGTGCTTTTCTGTTAATCCTCTGAGTATAGGTGCAGTACTCTGGATTTTTTGTACACTAATGCTATGAAAATTATAACTGATAGAAATACTAATTTATGTGTTGCGACTTCATGAATCACATTCTAAATACATTTGAGCTAGCCACTTCACCTAGTAAGAGATTCATCCATCCTAGAATTGTAACTGTACACTAGAGAAGCCAGTCTCCAGCAATTTTAAGGGTAGCTGAGATAATTGCCTTAGATTAGATACGTAACTCTTAGATGGATGCATCTAGATGAGATGAAACCCATCTCAGGACCATTTCACTGTGCAATCACCTATCACCTACCCATCGCTACATTTTCACGTCAAAGTTTGCTTACCACACGCAAGCTCACTAGAATATTGCACTTGGGTTGGAGACCATGTTATCCCCACTTACACTTAATTGAGAGGAATTAAGCTGGAAGTGACCCTGTTCTATTCTGTTAATACTAAGATCAGCCCGACAGGTACCTCCGGAGACCAGATATTAGATGATTTGAATTGCTCTGTGGAAGTGCTTCTCTCTTTCTCCTTGGTGATAGATGGGGCCTACCGTGATGGCCATCTGTCTCAGCTAACTACATTGGCTTGGCAGGAGGAAAGTGGCCTTGTATTCATAGTAAGCACTTAAAAAATTATTTTTATCAATATGTTACAGTGATGCAAAAGGAAAATGAAGAAAGAGATCAGGAAGACCAGTATGTATTACAGTAAAATGAATGTGGTGTGCTATGTGCTCTCTCAGATCGTCACATTAAAAATAGTCTGTTGTCTTTGATTCCTTTTTTTAAATGGTGTTTCAAGTATTTTGGGGGGCATGTAGTCTGTTCTTACTTGCTCCCAGGAATTCAGACATAAGAAAAGAAATGGGGCGGATGGTAACGTGCAAGCCTGAAAAATTATTTCCACAAAACCAAACATATATATACATGTATATGGTTATGTTTAAAATACATGAATATATTCAAAACCACCATGGAAACTCCTTTTAAAACAGTTCTCAGATTCAGATACTTTTCCTTGAAACCTACAAAGAGGCTATCAGCAATTTGAAACTCAATATGTTACAGACCTAAAAATAACTTAAATGTTTTTATAGTTATGTTCATAAAACATAAGCCAAAGATCAGAAACACGTAAGATGCTGGGGATGAGTAGTGATTTCAGGATCTAGGATTATTTTCACATACAATTTAAGTAGTGCAAGATGGTGTAAGATGAAGGAGCCAAACATCTTATTTTAATGATAAGCCTGTATTCCAAACCAAGGCAAAGGTGATAGGAAACTCCCAGGTGGGTTTTGAGTAATATTTTTCATGCTTAAGTTGAAATGTATATATATATTTTTTCTGCTGACCTCCCTCCCTAATTAAGAAGAATGGCCATTGGCCTTTGCTTTAAGGCTGCCAAATTTTCCCAACAGTCAAAAAGCATGTGGTATTAATGGACACTTTCTTGTTACCAAGTGTATGTCTTGCATTTACATGGTTGAGTTGCATCTATTCTAAAGGGATGGCTGTACTCCAGTGTGGGAAGGGCAATGCAGGCAAAACATGTGCCAGATCCTAATCTGCTATAACTTGATGTAGGTAAGTAAGTCACAAGAGAGAATTTATTTTAGCTGAGCGTTTGGTGCCATGAACAAAAAATATCTGCCCAACCCAAATGTTATTAAAATACAGCCACTGACATCACAGTGACAGTGATGACAGTGTGTTCTGTCTAGCAATTGACTTCGCAAGGACTCTAGGATTGGATAGGCATGTTCAAGGATGAGTCCTTTCCCATATGCAGCCTTCCCAAATTCTAAAACTTGAGGACGTTGGCATGACAGTTCCCTTATCCTTTCAATTCCTACCTCTGTGGAATTCTCCTACAAGACACCTACTTGATTCACTTAGGTTAATAACTTGGGTTCCAATTAGTGTGACTGAGGCCATCCATACGCACAGGACTTCTGCATATGGATGTATATTCAGAGACCAGACTCCTAAAGTGAAATTTGTTCTATTTAACTTAATCTTAAGTTTGGTGTCTGTTGTGAGCTCCTACCAGTGGTTCCTTCTACAGTCAAAGAAGTGAGATCAATAGGTGCATCAAAAGATCAGTCCTTCCTAAAATGTGTGCCACAACAGATGAGATGAGATGAATCAAACCTGAAAATGCTCATTTCTGTACTATCAAGAAAGTCTGGAGATGTAACTTAGACTAAATGTCTCACTTCTAGTTTAACACTGGCTCAAGTTAATTGCTGTGTATGAAATATTTGTACCATTTGTGTGAAAATTCACAAGATGAAATTCCTATATTCAAGATCTTCAAAGCTTTTAATATATAATTTTTTTTATGACTGAAACAATGAAAGATGAATTTTTAAAAGATGGGGTAACAAAACAATTCCAGTGTTTCTTAAAATGTGGTTCATCTGATACTTCCATCTAGAAACGCAGTAGAGCATTACACCAAATCCAACAAGGTGCAGGTACACATTCAGTGCCACAACTGCTTGTAGTGATAGCTCCGTGGGCAAACACAACTCAGAACAGAAACTGCACTGTGGGCAACTTGCCCTGTTCCTCCAAACTTTATTTATACTTCCCAGCAAGATCAGCAAAGTCTGCACATCTTTTTGGGCAGCATACTGATATTTCCATTTGTATGACACTAAATACAAAGAGACAATGAAAGAGAGAAAAAAAGAGAGGGGAAGACAGAGAAAACCACATTTTTATGACTTTTTAAAAACACCATGACAAAACTTTAGATTTAGATGGGAAAGCATCAAATATTGTCAATTTTATATGGGTAAAAAGTGAAAGTATAACTCTAATAATGTTATCTTTCATTTTAGAACAGGATTCTGGAAGCTGCATTTTCTATTCTAGTGAAATTTTGAGTGAATTTATAATCACTTTTTTTCTTTCAAATTACAACATTTGAAGCAAAAGTCTACAAAGTATAATATCTCTGTGGAAGCCAACTTTACAATAATGGTTAAAGAAAATGCTGCAATGCTTGTTGAGGTTTTAACAAACCAAAAATATGTATATTCTGTGTAAATGCCCATTTTATTGAATATTACAAATAGAAATGGTGAGTTATTTTTAGTTTCTCCACTCTAAGACAAAAGCTTTCACTAATACAGGTTAGGCTTTACATATATATTAAATGACTTTATTTTCCCCAATTCAGAAATACTCTAGCTGTTTTAAGGGTAATTCTCAATTTTAATATTTAAATTTCACCACAGTATTAGCTGTGGCTATCTATGGAATAACCAGGTCATGCTGAATGGAAGAATGTCTGTACATTTTTGAAACAGGACCTTCTCAACTACATCATTACATACTTTATATGACAGAACGTGTTCTCAAGCCACTTCCCAAGACTCTGCACCGTCACTGGCAAAAATGATAGGGAAGCAACCTTCTGTGGCCATCATCAGGTCATCTGCTGTAAACTCTAAGGCTGTCCTAAACTTAATTTCCCATTGATCCTGCATAATATCCTCCAACAACAGTCATTTTCTATGGAAGCATAATGCAAGACCTGCTGTGGAAGATACTGTTTATTTCACTGTATTTTTGTTTTTAAAGCCCATATTTGTAGCCCCTAAGCGATAGTGTGGTACTATTTTGGCCCAAAGCTAGCAAGGAACTTTAGGGTACTATAAAAGGTATGTGCGTATAAAAGCAAAAAAGCCAGAATAAAGCCCTAACGTGGGCTGTCAAGATTTAAGTTGATTCTTTACTCAGAGGGTTAACATGTGCTAAAATTACATACTGCAGTTCCTAACTTCACTGATGAAAACATTCACTGCTTCTATCTTGAAATAAAAAAAGCAAAATAGCCTTAACCCTTTGAGGATAATATTAGCAGCAAGTTACAATCTAAACAGAGAACAAGTATTTCAATTAATTAGGAAATAATTCTTACAAAGGTTCTGTAAGCACCTTTTTATATTCCACTATCTCAGCGGTTAGTGCTGGACAGATTGGATGTGATCACCTCACACGGGTCTGAAGGATTTTCGGGGTCTCAAAGGGTTAAAGCCAAGACTTTTGAGTAAAAGTGTTTTATTAAAAGGGTGAGTTAGGTGAGCGAACAGTCTCGGATGAACTTGGTGAATAGTCTTCCGATTCGGAGTTGAGTTCAGGTGGAGCCTGCTGTGCCTTGTAACGTCCCCTCACATCCTGGTTGCGTCTTCGTCGGAAAACCTGCCTCTCCTTATCAAGAGCGGTGGTCTGGCAGGGGCATAAAATGAGAATAAATGAAATTAGGCTGTGTGTGAAATGCAAAGCTAATGAAAACCATGAGTTTTTATGTGGCCCGTAAATACCAGGGATAATAAGTGTTCAGACCAAATTAAACCTGTTCTGTTTCAGTCAAGTCTGAAAGGTTTAGCCCACAACATGGCTAAATGCTTTAAAAAGTGCATTTCCCAAACCTTAAGAGGTAGCCTGACATCATCAAGCAGATACAGTACCATATATATGGATGCCATATGTTCTACTTCTGGATGCTATTAATTTCATATTTTAGTAGATTCGAGTTTCAAGCCAAATACCAACTGACCTTCCCCCCACCCTTCTCTAAGTATAAATCTGTTTCTATAGGTGAGGCAGAGATGTATGTTTGTCTTTGATTTGACCTAATGAAGGTTGATACACACTCACCCATGTTCAAGTCAGTGCAATTGGCTATCAGAGATGGATTGGGATGAAGTTGTCAGACAAGAGAGGAAAAACAAACACTGAGGGGAGCTAGCCCAGCTCTTTCACACCTCCTCATGCTACTCAATGGATGTTCTTAGGAAGAACGCTGAAGAGCTCTGATGGAAAGACCCATTTAGCCTGTCTGTCCTGCCTCCTCCTCCTGTTAACCAGGATCTATCAAATTAAGTAGTCACCAGATTTTATCAAGAATCCAGATATGAATAGAGAGATCCAGAAAATGGGGAGGCAGAATGTTTATTTAATGGGCTCTAATTTTTTGGATTAGTTTCTGCCACTGTTGAGAGTGTGGTTCCTAATAAGATGGCTGTAACTTCAAACCACGTCCCTTCTGCTTTGTCTGTCACATTCACAAGGTGAAGCTGCAACCCAGCAAGGGCAGTCCAAGCCTGGCCAATGATTTCAAACTTAGGGGTGTTTTTTTTTCTGTTTTCCTGAAGTCACTAAAAATACGAGTTCAACAGGATGGCCTTGATTCAGACATTTTGACACACAGTTAACTGCTTTTTGAGGCAGGGCTATCTTCTTGAAACATGGCCCATGTTTTGGGGGAAAAAGGTAAAAAAAGGGAAAAGGCAGATGAGATTACCCACAAAATACAAATGGTCATTTGGTAATTACACTGGAGGAAAGGATAACGTTGAGAATTGAATAGGTTTAAATCCTTGTAAATTCTCTTCCCTAGCATGAAAATTTCAGTCTAAAAGAATGTAACCAAAAGGTTATTCTGCTTTGAAGGATTTATTGTTTTCTCTTGAGATATACATGACTGATTTCTCTAGAAAATGTACCAGTTATACTTTGGGCCGCATAGGAAAGCAGAGATGCATTTCTAGCCAATATACTCTTGAAATCAAAATGAAAAAGAAATCCATCATACAGGTGCAGAATAGCATTATAGCCATTCATGCTGTAAAATAATGCAATCAGCATTCAATAATGATGTAATAGAGACAGAAAGATGGACGAGAGTACAGAACTACTAGAGCAAATGGATTTAGTTAGGCTAAATTGCTGAACTATTTCTGAGTCCAGAACCTACACAGCACTACTTTAAGAGGCTAAAATAATTACCTTTCTTAAGTTCATCCCTCTATTTTAAATAATTACTACAAAATGCAACACTTGCAATCTGCTGAAAATTTCTTTGTTTACTGCTAATCTTTTGGATAAGAGCACTCATTAGTATTTTCAATGCCTTTAATGTTTCTCGGCCTTGAACCAATTCAGTTTTTGATTATTTTTTAATGTGAAACAGAAGAATACCTAGATCATTTACACACAGTGAATATACCACATACTGTGTGAAAATTGAAAAGAATGGCATATATTACCATTCTATAAAATACAGATTTCCATTTAAAAGATTTTTTTATGCTTACAGGAAATAAGCATTTATTTAAAGTTTAAGCCACATCACATCATGCTGCGGTAACGGATACTCTCCACCAAGAAGGTTAAACATTTCTGGTCAAATAAATAAAAAATAGTTGTATTAAATTCAAAATTTAGTTTTAAAGTCTGGTACAGGAGAATGGTTAATGTATATGTCAAAAGTGAAAGTATTTAAAATTCAACAAGTTACAGATAAGTGAATACTCAAATGAAAGGTTCTTTTTAAAGTTTAGCCTAGGATGTTTCTTTTTTTTTTAAAGGACACAATGATTAAACTGCAAAACTAGTTAGACAATTAAATACCAAGACACTATTTCACTATTTTAAAGATGTCTTCAAAAGTAAAACCCAGGATGCAGCTTTTCTGCTATCGTTAAGGAAGCTTTGGAGGCTATTTGTCTAAATATATGTAAAGGCACTTCTTTCCTCAATAACCAAAAGCAAGTAAAAATCCCTGATCGTTCCATCTAATCCAGCACCTATATGCTACAGTTTGTAGCACCAAGCATTTCTGACTGCTTAACCCTTCAGAAATTTGTGATATTTTTGAGGCTACATTTTTCTTCACATTTTTACCAGAAGTCTCACCCTGAATGGGTTCTGACTGGCCTTTATGGATGCATATGGATGCAGGCCATCCGTGCCTGCAGACTCCATGGCATTACGTGTTCCCTCTCCTGGTATGCGAGACATTCAGAGCCTTTCTCACCCAACAAGCTTATCAAATAAAGATGTGTGAGGTCACAGAGCCAAAGAAGGGACTATTGATCTGGTGCAAGCAAAACTACATAGACCATATTCTAACATTTAGGGTTTCACATGTCAGAACCACAGAACGGGTCAGTCCTGGACACGCACAGAGCGGTCACAGTTCCCTCTGGACTTGCAAGATAGGGTTTGTTCTGCTCAACGTTATGGTGACATTTTGCACTTCTGGCATTTGTTACACTGCCGTACAGTACAACATTCAGCATTTGGCACAAAGGTGGTTTTTCATCTAATGATGTCGGTTACTTTTTGCCCCTGAAAATTTTAAAATATGAAAGATCAATGCATTGCAATGCAGGGAAGATACAATATACACTGGCGTACTGACTGCATGTGTTTTATAGTGCAGCTCTCACCTCCTGTACTCTCTTGTCCATGTGGCACATTCAAAAAATCAGCATTTTCACTATTATTGCTATTTTTGTAACAAAGACCTCTTATATGTATTGCCTTGATTTAAATGATTTATTATTTCATGTACTATTCACTATTGGATGGCTCGCCAGGGCATGAATTGGTCCATTACGGATTTTCAGGGCATTTCTTCAAGTTCCTCTTTCAATAAATAATAAGAGGATCTGAAGTGCACTTATGCTTCACAGGGCTGCAAAGCCCAGATTTTCATTATCACATTTTGACATTTTTTCTCCCAGCTTGAGGTGAGAGAGTGAGAACTTTGAGCACTGTATGATAGTAATGGCAACTAAAATGTTAGTGTAGTGTTCTTATTTGAGCTATGCAGCTGTCCTCTTACAATCCATATGAGGAAATGTAGAGCTTCTTATCCAGGAGCAGATAAGTGGATTGCCTTTAATAGTTTGGTGCTGATGGGTCTGAAGCACTTCATTAAGCACTAATGTATTTTGCATCAACATTTAGTAATCCTGACACCCAGTACCAAATGGTTAACAAGCTATTTTCCTTTTTTTTTTTTTTGGAAATGCATTTAATTTGAAGTAAAATGGTGTTATTTTAAAATCATTGCTTCTCTCATCTAAATACTGAGGGAAAGCTAGTGCTTTTCCAGGATTTTATCATTGGGATCATCTTTTTCCTGACCTCTAACTCAAGATGTTGCAGGACACCCGAGCCATGCAAATTCTTTTCTTCTTGGAAAAGGTTGAAGTCCGTGTTTATGGACAGACATTCAAAAACGACATCTGCTTTGATATACGTGTGGGATTTGCAGAGGGAGGCACCTTATTTTAGCTGCGGGATGATATTTCCTGTCAGATCAGTAATTACTGAAGTAACTGCTTTTTATGGATGCAAGCAGTGATTGTTTTTCTTTTCACTTGTCTTAATTTACTGCTGGCCACCAAATATAGATATACATTCATTTCATTAATAAAAGAACATTATTGTTGCATTTTGCCTCTTAGTCCATACATTATTCATAAAGGCTAGGAGACGGAACTGGGGATGCAGCTGTTCATGCATTAATCTGAGAACCATTCCTTTCACTTGCTTTCATTCTGCACGAACATATTTGCAATTTGTCTGCAATTTTTGTGATGCTTTGTTAACGAGTAAAATTAAATGGACATATGTATTGCAACATTGGTCTTTACCTTCCAGTGCATTTTTCTATACACACGTAGGTGTGTGCATGTATTTAAACGTTCATGCCTGGATAATTTTACCCTATTTCCTTAAGCTTTTGGCTAGTGACCTCAATGTGCTGAGATATGTAATGGCAGATTTCCCTGCTGTAAAAATGCCCATTAAGTGATAGCAGCAACTTTTACAATGCAAGGGCACAAGGCCACACCAGGTAGCCTTTCAGTATGCCTTTTTTATATTGTTTTCCATTGGCTTCTCGGTTATATATATATATATATATATAATATGTAATATAATATATATATATATATACATATATATACATCTGAACATGTACAAAAGATTCATGATTCCAGACACTTATTGGAGAGTGCTTCAAACTTCGCAATGCACCTCAGTCCAGGAGTGAAAGACACATTTATTTGTAGCCCCTCAGGCACAAGCCATAACTAAGTCAAGTTACATGGTGATTTGGAGACGTGCAAATGACCACATCGAGGGGACAAATCCATCGAGTGGATTTGAACTTAAACCTCCAAATGCAAAAGGCCAGTGCTTCAGTGCACCATGTAACCTCTGGCATGGAATTTTGCTTACATGAAAAGAAAAAGAAAGAAAACCAAATCAGTTTGATGTATGCTTCTTACTGTAGTGGTGAGTGAATACCATGATAAGTATCCCACACATATGACTGCTGAATTCATATTGCTATATTTAAGTTCGTGTTTACTCTTTGACATTCCCCCTTTTTGGAGACACGATTCCTCAGCTGGTTTCAATTACAC